ACTCATGTTCAAAAACCGTACTGTCACCGGAAATAGCACTTGTGTAAAGAAGTGCAATGAATTCCAAGGTTGCGTGGGTCTTAATGATGATGACTATCGGACGGGTTTGACAGTTGGAGTAGGAGAGCCTGGTTGAGCTCGACGAAGCACAGGGTTGAGATGAAAAGCTCACATAGAAGGGCGTCAAAATTGTTGTTACAGTAGCTGTGACCGAGGTGCTTGCTAGTCACCATTGTGTTCCACTCCAGTGGACTGATTGATGGGGTGATCACCCTCGTAAGGCTGAGTCCAGCGGTGAAGTTGAACTCAGAAGCACGCTTAGATGCACGAAGCGGATTTATCACTGGTAAAAAAGTAAAGCTTCACAATTCCCGCAGACAAATAGTGAAACAGAATGTGAATGTATCAACAAAAACAAAATTGGCATATATATCAGTGAAGTCACCGAAGTTTCACTGGTGTACGTAGTTTGGTTATGTCGTGATGTGTCTCAGTGACATTGGTTAAATCTTGCAATGCATGTGTTGTAATGTTTCATCAAGTTGGGTTTCGAATTCAGTCGATGCAGAAGTGGAGAGGACAGAAATCGGGAGAGCGTTTCACCACTGGGACACAAGAAGTGAGAAAAGATGCCGGTGGCATTCCAGCTGGCTGTACTGTGTGGCGAACTTCAAGTGATGGCCTCGAAGTGAGGAGTTGTGACTTAATTTCAGTAGGTGCAGACATGCGTGGTTTGGATCCTTTAGGATCTGAAACAGCAAAATAAGAGCCCCGCGCAGGCGACGGTATTGAGCACCGAAAACTCCCAAGGTCTGCAGTCCATGCTGGTAAGGGAAATGTGTTAGGCCCTTAACATTTGTTGTTGCTGTGCTTTGTGGAGTCGCAAGAGCAGCAAGATAATGCTTTTACTAGGCGTGCCAGACCTGGATGGTGTATTCAACATGTGACCTTAAGTAAGTGTTAAGCAGTTGAGAAATGATAACGGCATCAAACAGGACGAACGCTCCCCGCAAGAAACCCAAGTGCTCCTTGGCTTTTCTTGCTACTCTTTCGGCCTGCTTTGAGAAACCGAGATCGGCCTGTATGACCACTCTAAGATCACTTTCATGGAAGACTCGTTGCGAAAGGTGTTCTCCCAGCCAGTATGCGTAAGTTCTCTAGTGGGGTATGCCAGTACTCGAAATTTGGCAGCGTTGAACTCAAGTATGTTCTGAACTGACCAATTGTGAGCCCTGTCGAGATAACCTTGTAGTGTCATATGGTCGTTTACAGTCGTGATAGTCCGCCAGCTTTTGAGATCTTCCGCGAAGAGTACAAACGTTTGAATCCATCACTTCCACGTGGCCGTTAATGAAGACGATGATAAGCCTTGGTCCTAGAACCGAGCCTTGTGGAGCGCCACATTGCACCTCTATCGGGTCACAGAAGGCGCTACGGACTCTCACATCTAGGCGACGTCGAAGCAGGAATGCATGTATCTAACCCAGGATGGGATCACTGATCCCACAGCTCTGAAGCTTGAGAAAGAGGACGTTGTGATCAAGATTATCAAATGCTTTCGAGAAATCGAGGTACACAGCGTCAAATCCCTCCTCAGGATCGACAGATTCCGTCCAGCTGGCACGGGGTAACAAGATGTTCATGGTACATGAGTGATTTCGGCGGAAACCGTGTTGCTCCAGTAAGATGCTACTACATCTTTCCAAGTATCCTATGATGGCCTCCGTAATACAGGATTACATGATCATGGAAAGAACTAGGAGAAGAGTTATCCGGCGGTAGTTGGCCGGTTCAGCGCGGTCCTGAATTACAAAGCTTGCGCAAACACGTATATATGTAAAGCAATTGGGTGACTTCCAGCTTGCTGTACACAGAATGGCACAAAAAAGCACCCGTACACGCCACTCAGCGGAGGTCAAGAGCAGAATACTGAAGACTTATGAGGAGGGAAACAATTGGGAGCAACCTGCATCTATACGAAGCGTCAACCCAAAAACCGGCCGCAGTTGGTTACGAAGAATGGAATCAATCGAACAAAGAGCGAAGCATGGTGGGGGCGACGAAGATCTCTGGCAGAAAGCCACATTGTTTGCCTGGTAGCATGAGTATCGTCTGAACCCACGGTCACTCTCGAAACACTCCACCTGCGGTTGAAGGCTGCGCTGATGCTTGAGGTGAGCACTAGCACCATAGCGCGATACTTTGACGAGAGGCTGATAACAATGAAGAAATTGCACGCAGTTCCGGAATCCGCGAAGACATAAAAGAAAAAAATGGTGACGAAAATCCTATGTTTACAGAACAGTAGTAGGGGGATTTAAGGGAGGAATTCATAACCACTAGACTCACTCAGACAGCCACCTCAGGACCAGAAAAGCACTGTACGGTAGTTTCATCCGTTCGGGAATCGTGCTTGTGGTCTTAACCACGGATTGGTAACAGTCGAGCTGCGGGTTCGAGCACTACAAGGGCCAAATGGAATGTGCACTGCTGACGCTTCCCGACAATTCTATGTCTAGGCACTGCTGTAGTCGGAGGTCGAAGGGAGACGTGTGGTGTTGATGGATAAAATAAATTGTGATCTCTTTTCCGTTTGCACCAGAGGCCGTTCACCGCGTGCAAGTCGTGCGCTGTGTCAAGTGCCCAACACTCAAGGACGGAACGTTCATCTTATTGGAGCCCTGACGACCGCTGGCTTGATAGAGTATACTTTCGTGAGAGGAAGTTACAACAATGAAAGGTGTGCACAGTGGTTGCGTGGACTGTCGGATGGCAGGAGTTCGACTTTGTCGAAAATTGTCTCCTGATTTGCGATAACGCGTCTTTGCACACGAATGTGGAACGCGTATGCAAGGAGCAGTGGTACCGTTCGGGCAGCCTCGTGCGCCTTCCTCCATATTCTCTATCACTCAACACAATTTGGAGCACCAATAAAAACATATGTGAAGCAAGCTATGAGGCAGAGATATTCCTAGATGCTTCATGGAGATCCTAAAGATGTACTTAACAAGATCGAGTGAAGGATGTTTTTTTGAAGCGAATTCTGTCAGAGACATGAGCCTGCGTGACATCTCAGCACCGCCAGCATATGATAGATCGTGTGAGGAGGAATTACGCTCACGCAATGCATTGTACTGATTTGTAAATTGCTCCCATTGTGTTGTAGATAATGTGAACTGGTGTTATCAATGCTATGCCTTGCAAAGCCATTGATTCGACATGCAGGTATGAACGATGGCGTTCAGGCTAAGTGCGGTCGCAGTGAGTTCCCGCATGTTTCCGCGTTAAGCGTTACGAGACAACCAGAGGGTATCCGGATGATTCCTGGTAATCAGGACTACATTGCTGCTAATGATGAGAGGTCATGTGTTGTAACGTACTGTAGTGTCGCGAGATGATGGTACGTAGTTGGTATCACGAAGAAGAATACCGGCCGCAAAAAAGGAAGAGTCATTCTTTTGATCGGTTGGTTAAGCATTATTGCGAAAATCTCGAAGGTACATGGTATCGTAGGTTACATATCGCCGCGGGAGGACAGACACTGTGATGTACGGTAAAACAATGTGCCGGATGTAAGTCCGTGATCCATCTTAGAAGACGAAATAGATGTTTATCGCTTATTGTCAAGCATTTCAGAGGGTTATGCCGTCGACTGCGTTCGCTTCAGTGCCTAAGTTGTGCCAATGTATGCAGTGCATCATGATTCGTCAGCCCATTGCCAGCGGTGCAGCGTTCAGAGAATACGAACCACTCAAGCGACCAAAGTAGACGTCATCGCGATAGTCTACATATTAACCACCCCCTCCAATGCAAGCACCTAATGGCAAGTGTAGTGCTTCACCTTTACCTTGGGCTAGAAGGTATAGGGTAGTACATTCGGTTTACGGTGCACAGATCCTTCGCTACATACACGGCTAAAATTAAGAATGTGGCAGTCATATCACGGCAGTGGGTCTCTCAGCAGAGCGCCATCCATGTTGAGTTCCCCTTACGCAAGTGAATAACTATCAACCCAGAGTTCAGTGGCAAGTTGCGCAGGCCCTTTAGGTTGTTTATTCACAAACGTCATAAAATGTTGTCACCCCAGATCCTGATCATTCGCAGTCATACACCTGCGAGCGTCTTGATATCGGGACACACCGAACCTGCCCGAGCGCTGGTAGATTGTCCTAACAATGTCATACCATGACCTGGGGTCTCCTGATGTTCTTATTCTGAATTATAAAGCGGATTTCATGTAGAAAATTATGTTCTCGAATTTCACACTTCGTGCAGAAAATGCGAATTATGGCGAGCGATTAGTTGCAACTAACTGGGCGTATACCAGTTATCATGTAAATAATATATCTGCTAAATCACCATGTCACACTCCATTTTATTGGTACGTTCATTAGTCAATCTTTCTATTCATTACGTCCCTCCTACGGGACAGGTCAAGCGTTATCTACTTGACCCGTTATATACATTTGTACTACCATATGCGATTGTGGACTACGAGCGATAAATGTGCGAACGCTTTAGTCTTGTCCCCAGTTCAAGATACACACGATGGAATTGCTGATTAGCGTGGGTGGGAACTTAGCTATGCACGACGAGCAATTATTCTTGGCTTGAATGCAATGGTGGTGGTGGTGCATAGCAGCCGAAGATCGCTGGTCCGGGGGGATGGGTGTGAATCGGGTAACACGTTGGCAGCGTGTGGAGACAGGATGAGTAGATTGGACAGGAGGGAGATAAAGCACTAATGATAGGAGAATGATTTCAACGAAGGTGAAAATTCCCAACCGAAATTGACCTTTTAATATTTCGCGTCGTTTGACTAGACAGGCAAAAACTAAGTGGGAAGTGAAAAAAGGTTGAAAGTTTGTGCTTTCGAAAGGAAAAATATATCACGCATCGGTCGAGCTGGTGGTCACATTGATAAACCAGCAGTGGGAAAATGGAACAGCGACCGATGGCCAAGTGGCATAGCAAGGACGACGACCACGAATCCGTGTTCATCACATTCTGAAGGTTGGCCCGATCTGCTGTACGTAATCACCAGTTGTAGGAGGACTTATTATGTCGTTCACCGATTGTACCAAGTTTAATTCCAAAGGAAGCTCCGGGTTGTTTGCAGCTGATAGGTGTAGAGAAAGTGCACGAACAGAAATACTAGAAGGTGGCAAGATCCGAGGATTGATTGGAACTTAGTTATCACAATATGGTTGGATGGGTGGATCGATCTATGAGCAACTGACATTGGTAAACAATCCGTTAAATGCTCACAACTAGAAGGCAAAGCGTCGTCGCACACTAAGAACAGGATATGTCTGGCTGGTTTAGAGAGCAAATTCATTGGATAAGTGAGTGAAGGATTAGAATTCGAACAGACCCACATCCAATAGGCACAACAACCATAACACCGCCGAGACCAAATGGATGTAATTACTACTGCGCAAGAGGATCACAATGCAGCTCAATCGTTCGAATATGATCCGAGCACCGAGGTGGCACTGACTAAACAGCCATAATGGGAAGGAAGTGAGAAGCAACGGCAAAGAAGAAATGTGAAAAAGGAAAAAGCAACGGAAAAATAGTCAGTAAATGGTGGATCGTAGTTGTTGTAGAAAAACGCTCGCATCAATGCACAACAGACTGCTGATGTCTCGAGCAAACAGTGTCGGATAAGTTCCATAAAGACTCATTTGTTTTAAACCAAAAGTCCCAGCCAGTTAAACGTACATCTGCAAGCCCAAAATCAGGGGTCACTTTTTTACGTCATATTGAAATATTAGTGATTTGCAACCTTAAGCTTTACTCAACGACATATTTCCAGAAAACTATGTATACACCTAGAAAAGCCATCGGGAAGCCCATAGAAGAAAAGCCTCGCTCTAGAGTAAGAACAACTGTTCACGTTACATTAAGAAGGACAAGTGATGTAAGACTCATTCGATGCTAATCTTGTTGGGCGTATATTCTTAAATTTTTCACAAGTTATAAATGGACAACTGTACCATCAGGACCATGGTGGCAATGAAACGGGACAATTTTGTTTAACAAAAAGAAAACGGACTCAAGAAGGAGGATAGGCTAATTTTGATGTTTCGCACACTTTTCAGCTTTTGTTAAAAATTGAATATCATATAAACCAGAAATGGTAGGCGTGCATTGACACCGTTGATTACTATTTTGAGTCAATATTTCTAACCACTGGGAGCTAGCATCACGTGGTCACTAAACTGGAAGACGGACAGATCCAACTGACGTTAGACGTGAGGTAACCTTCTTGGTGTTCCTCTTCCACATCATCCGTTGTCTGCCGCAGCATATTTCCCATTCACGTCCAAAAAGTGCAAATAATGTGCAATAAGGAGGGAGACGGACTGGCATGTGCAGTACGTGACACAGCTAGCGCAGGCGGTGTTGTAGAATAGTGTTCTGGAAACAGGGACTGTTCGTGTTGAGTACTCGGCTTCTAACTTCTGTATTGCTTGTACGGTACTGCCATCACACACGAGCAGTCGTTCGAAACATCGGTTATTGAAGGTTGACAGCTGTTACGAATATCTCATGCGAACAGGCCAAGTTTCACGGCCATAGAGCAGAACAACATGGACGGTGGCAATGCACACTTCTATCTTGGGCCAGAGACAAATTAAACGACGTCACAACGGTCTCTGGTTAATAAATGCAAGGCGAACTTTGGCAATTCATTGTGACAGTTTATTTCAAACACCACCACTTCTCGTGATGCAATTCTCGAGATAAGTCAAGCCAGTACACTCTAGATGAGAGGTAATTAAGAGATCTCAATGTGTCGAAATGTAAAATAGCACGAAAAAGTTTGTAATTCAATGTTTTCAAAACGCTGTCCATATTTTCGTAGTTGCAAGCACAGTAGCGCCTCAGAAGTTTTTAAATGTGAAGCAACATATCAACTGTAATTTGTCGATTTCTTGTCTTTGGACAAGTATATCTTTCGAGTTGGCTTCGGTTTCTCAGCGCATTCCTCAAGAAAGTTTCTATGATCCGCTTTAAATTCCTGGCGTTCGGTCTTAGCTTCTGTGCATGCAGGTTTTGCAGTGTGTTTATGCATACTGGTGAATTTGTTATCAACTGTATTAACTCTTCATGACGCTGTAAATTTGTACGTGTTCTGCAGTAAGCACATGATACTGTGCACAAAAGTTTGGCCGGAATTAAATCGTGCGGTACTTGGGTTTTGCTGATTTTTTATTGGCTAAGTCTTGAAAATGTATATATATATATATATATATATATATATATATATATATATGATGGGCGACATCCGGTTTCGCATTTACCTGTCAATGTGGCCAGCCACAGGACGCCTGCGCCTACAGTGCGACCATGGGTGGCTTGCGCTGCACCACCCACAGCTCCAACCACACACCCCATATCCAGTGTAAACCCGAAGGAATATGACAGAGAGGCATGTGGATGGGAGCCACGTTTCATCAACGGAGCCGGCCCACACTCCTTCACAGGCAAACACAAGCATGCTGTAGTTGGGGAATCAAGCGCACACAAGGCGGTGGCTGGACTGTGGTCCGCTCCACACTGAGTGCATGGAACCACTCTTCGAGCCTAGCATGGCCACAAGGACCGTGCACCCCGCCCCCTCCAGCAACCACCAACTGTCTACTGGAGTCAATACGGACGAGGTAGTGGGTAACAGACAGGTAGGCATCTTGTCAACATGCACATCAAGCGCAACCACACCGGGGATATCAAGCAACAGCCAATCACTTGAAACGACAGAATGAAATAAAATAAATCCAATAATTCATACAGATACGGTGGCATAACTCTAAGCTAAATTACCATATGAAGTAAGTTGGTTAGCAATGAATCCGTGATAAGGAAAAATGTTCACAAGTTAGTGAAAAATGCTACAAACGCAACAAGGTTACCGAAGATAAGCGCAATTAGTGTAAGCAACGCGGCCAGCTAATAGAAGATTATTCAGATAGGCAAAACAAAGCAAATAAAGTGGAATGAAATTTAGCCAGCCTAAAAGGACCTAGTTTAAGTGTAAGTTGGTTTAGCCCAACTGCGGTGAAGAAGCATCAAGAATGCAACATCAGCTCCAGCATAGGGCATATATATATATATATATATATATATATATATATATATATATATATATATATATATATATATATATATATATATATATACAAACGATCGATAGTATCCGGCATTGGTCACGTGAGTTATCAGTATCGAGGTAGCTTTGGGTACATACAATATCTAGCGACGGAGGTGGGATCATTTTGCCCAGCTATGGCCACCGATACGGATTTGAAGCAGAGGACACAAACCCAGTGGAAAAGTTGGTCGCAAAATGTGTCCAGATAGAGTCGTGTTCTTCCGTGATAGACAAAACAGTTTGGGATCCAATCGTTTAAAACATGGTTCATATTCGGCATGACCCCCAAGCTGACGATACTTTCCAGTCGTGATGCGTTGGGCAAAAAGCAGTTACTATTGCGCTAACTATCAGTAGCGTAGAAGTACCAAGAAGGCCAGACGGTGACTGTCAACGCTTGGGAAGCGTAGACATTTGTGTAGACGCAGAAGGAGCGAGCGAAATAAATCCTTTATAGGAAAGTTCGAAAATGAGTGGAACGGTTGGCGGTCAGAGCTGATGCATTTGGTTGCTGATATTTGTCATATCTTGAGTTCGTATCTTGAGTTCTTGCACTGCAGCCGTGACTTGCCAATGTAAATCATGCAGATCCACTGGCAGAAGGCAGTTGAAGGAGAGGATGTGCGGAGATTTCTGTAAGACTTCGAGGATGTGACGGAGGCGGTCGGAAAGAAAACCGAGTGTCCTCCACAGTAGTACAGGCGATACGAAGAGAGCACATTGGTTAAAGTGGCCAACAAAAAACGGGGCGAGCGCATCTAGTTATGGAGAAATTGGGTGCAATCGAACGCACATTAAAAGAATTTTTTCCTCCCTATCGGATGACGGTCACGCAGATTCAAAGATACGGTGCAGGATTCAATGACGACTTCATCGTTTAATACCAGCTTCAAGTGCATCTGGACAGTTAATTGTGGTACCGACGAGTTTATAACCCACGATGTTATCGTGCATCGTTAGTGTGATCAATTCAAGTGTAGGCTTCTTACAGAGGATCAAATACGATGCGTGGCCTTCAATCACCACGCGATGCAGATATCTGAGATAGATATTTGATTAAAATCAAGTGGGAACAAGACATAAGACTAATGCAGCACGAGTACGAGTGATCGCCCAAATTGAAGCCCGATTCTGGGGTGATTCGTGAAAACTGACTGGACATCTCGTCCTGTTTCCATGGTTGTTGCTGTCAATACAGGCATAAATCTATATCGCGTTTAACCACTACCAAAATTACCACCTCGAAAAAGCTCCTATACACTTGTCGTTACCGTGGTTCTTGGTACAACCACAGGTTCCGGCCGTGCAGATAGTCCTGCAGTTGACTGGACGCAGAACGGGATGCAGAGAAGGGCTCTGTGAGTTGCAGCTGTTTAACTAGGACAAGTTAGCCCCAGTTGGTAGATTATCCAGTATGCTCGCTGGCTTTCAAGTAGATGATACTCTTGACTGGAATTATGTATTGGTCCTCACCAATGCATATCCAGTCCGTCTTGAGCTTGACACAGCCCCCGGTACCACGGGTATTCCTCTTTACTACTCAACCATATCCAGCTGAACAGACATCTGCGAGTGTAGCAGCTAAGCGCAGTTAACTAAACAGCTGCACTGCTCATCGGCCTTTCACAGAAACACCGTTGGGGTAACTTATTACATTTCCGGTTCTAAACTCCAACTCCTCGGACTGGACTGGCTTGAGCTATTTGGTGTCGAGGATTGAGCGATTCGTTCCACACACACACACACGGCACCGTCGAAACTGACTAAACAGATCACCTTCGATTCTCAAATGTTTTAAAGGAGCACCTCGGTCTCGGCACCCGCAGTCAGGCCGCGATTCAACCACGTCACCGCATCCTACCAGTAGTTCGCTCGGAAACACCAATACTTCAAGCTGCCGTGTTGGTAATCGATCAAGAACTAAAATGTATAGGGGAAAGTAGTGACTTTCAGCCCACTTC